TTTGTCAGTTATTCTACACAGATTTTACTTCATTTTTCGCGTCGGTAGTTAAATAGCATTAGAAATGATTATTCCTCTTACCTTTCAATGCTTTTGGTGGTCTCTCTATTATTTTTCCCGTCAATAAATTTAAACTGGAGCGTGTACATGTGATTGTACTTGGGCAGTGAGGAAGAGACATATATGTAATCATTTGGACCCTACAAAGAAGAGGGAGAGAGAGAGATGAGAGAAAGAGGAGAGAGAGAGAGGGAGAGAGAGAGGGAGAGAGAGAGGGAGAAGGAGAGGGAGAGGGAGAGGGAGAGAGAGAGAGGGAGAGAGAGAGGGAGAAGGAGAGGGAAAGGGAGAGAGAGAGAGAGAGAGAGAGAGGGAGAGAGAGAGAAGAGAAAGAAAGGACTCAATCACTGTCTCTCTTTTCTTACCAATCCTGCTATTCCTCTCTGCACTCCAGTCATGAATATATTCTTTTCCCTGTATGAACTGAACAATGTCAATAGGCCAGAAACTACAAAATAAGTATTTTAATTGGTTAAGAAAAAAACCTTATTATCTAGCAAAAAGTGGGACGCTTCCAGTAGGTAAGTAAATCTGTAAAATTTTTATATGGTAAAGGTTAGTTAATTTTTGCTATAATACAATTAAATATTTCAAAACAGGCTACAAAATTAATAAAACACCTTTCCAGAAAATTGACAAAATTACTTATCGATCAAAAATCCTAAAACTAATACAATAAAATTTAGAATATGAAAGGATATGAAATTGAGCAGCTAGCTAGTACATATTTCGACGATGGAAATGGATAGAAATAGTCATACACTACTGCAAAGAGGGAGAGAAGGCAAGCAACAGTACACAGAATCAGTCGCTGATCAACTAAGGTGAAGTCTTCGGTGTAATTATATTCCTTCTTTAATAACTAAAAAAATAAGATAATTTTTAGGCGATTTGAATTATTTCGATTCTTAATTATACATTTTTAATGTTGTCATCTATACTGTTTTTGACAGCATTCCCGTCCCACTTGTCAATATTAACTGGCTCGTAGTCCTAAAAAAATTGATTGTATTTTAAAATAAAGTTTTTTCCATTCTTTACTTCAGCCATAAAATCTTTTCTTTTGTCCGAGGCCGCCATTTTAATAATTAGGGGGTTAAAAATTAGAAAGTGCTAAATAGGCGGAGTCAGTTTGTAGACCACGCCCATAAAACAAAATGGCTTCTTAGAAAGAGAAAGATGACTAACGTTTATTCGTTCGATGGTCTTATCGTGTTTGGATTACTAGTGATATGCACTTGTGCTTATCTCAGATCTGTCCCTCGTTTAAAAGATCTTTTGTTTTCAGAGAAGAAAGGATTTTGGGGTGCCCTTTATAAAGCATCAGTAATTGGAACAAGACTTCATTGGCTCGTCTCTTTATCTTGTATTGTAATGGCAGTATATGTTCTCTTTATTAAATGATTGTATTATTTCACCATGTTTTATTGTTTTGGCTTCTAAAAATCAAAAATGAAATTGAATCGGCGCCATTTTATTTTAAAGCTACACCTTTATGAGTGGGCGTTCGAGTTCTCGAGTATAAGTTTTGCGCCAAAGTTCGCCAAATCAAAATATGATCAAAGTGAGAAAAATGGCACCAGAAGCAACTCTTGTGGTCCTGCTTTTAGCTACCCTAGCCTGCTCTGATGGAGCTAAAAGTAAGCATTAAAAAACATACTTTTCAGTCCTTTTTATGCTTCATTAATACTAGTTGTTCAGCCAGATTTACTGGAAGGTGACATTATGCTAACTTATGAGCAGGAGAGCCTCATGGAGACACTGACTGCCATTGATTCTGGTAGACCTGGTGACCCTCAACCCGCAGTTGTCACTTTAAAATCGAGGAAATGGAATGATGGCATTGTTCCTTATGTCATTGATGGGTCACTAGGTGAGTTTTATATGAAATAATATTCAAAAATTTTAAATTAATATATAGAACTTAAAATGCATGGATCTAGTGATATATTTATGCATGTACACATAGCATGTTCTTCTAAATATCTTCTAATATGTATAGATTGCATTATTTGCTGGATATATCATGCATCCTCATGTGTAGTAAATATTACCAATAATTTGATAACCTGTTTTATGTTTATATACTGACCTCTTGCCACTGCACACTTCTGTACCCTATCAAACAAACAGACAGAAGCAATACAAATAATTATTTATTTATTCGATTTTACTTAATTTTCAATGGTTTTTGTTGTGACTGCTTTACCGCTATACATTGCACATGTTCATGTATGTACCTATTAGCATATGAACTATATAATTTTGATGAGGATCAAACGATTAATTTTCACTGCATAAATTTTTATAATGTACTTTTCTGAGTCTTTGAGTCTACGTCCCCTATAAAGGACAAACAATTAACTGCATAATTCCCTAATA